TTAATTTAACATGTATATAATAAAGAATTCTGAAGTATAAAATGAAACAATGAGAACAAAAGTAAGGTAAATGATTTTGAATTTATTCAGGAAACCGAACTGCAATTAATTTTACAACAAAGCATCAGCTATTTGCCTTCTGCGGCGCTCTCCTGATGTATTTTTGGCATCTTCACTGATTGGCTCTGATGATTCAACGGTGTCAATAAAAATTTCAGCTTCATCTGGATCACTGATTCTAAATTTCTTACAAATATTGTGGAAAGCGCAACAAATATTTATAATGGATGTTGCTTTAGCAGGATCGTAATGCATTTTTCGATCACTCAGGAGACATCGAAAGCGGCACTTTAAAAATCCAATCGTACGTTCAACAACGTTTCTAGCTTTCGCGTGTATCTTGTTAAAAATTGCCTCCCTAGTTCCAGACTCTGCATGGCGGAAGGGTGTTAGTAAATAAGGACTAAGCGGGTATCCGGAGTCTCCTACAAATAAGTAGTTTTTTAAATAGTGTTAACATTAATTTTGTGTTGATGTAACAATTTTAAAGTACCTAAAAAAATATTCTCCAAATAAGTCGTTAATGAAATATTGTTCCACACGAGAGCATCATGTGTAGAACCAGCATATCTAGCATCCACAAAACGGATATTTATGTCAGGATTGCTAGCCTGTAATATACAATTTGTTTATCAATGTTACTGTATTCATTTCTCAGAAACTTACACACCCCTATGCTGTAATCCGTCGTAGATTCGATTTTGCTACGAATCGTAAAATTGGTATGCTTTAATCCGCGTTGTCGTATCGTAATTTCGAAATTCGTAGGCCATCTTCGAAATACGTAATGTTGGTATGCCTGAATCCGACGTAGCTGTCATTTGTCGGAAATTTTGTACGAATAGCAACTCGTGTCGGAGCGAAGCAAATTATTTTAAAATATCAATAAAGTAAAGTGTGCAAACGCAAAAGTATGTATGTATGTAAGTTGAAGTGTGAATAGAAAAAAAATATTTATTATTAAATGTTTACAAAATTATCAGATCGAAGATCACAACAAATCGCTCGCAATACGAAAAACTGATGGATTGCACGAGCGAAGGGCCGGACATTGGTCGAAGCTTTGTAAAAGGGGCTAAGAGGATGTGCTGGAATTTTGGGAAAGCATTCCAAGAATTAAAGCAGGTCAATATCTAGTGAAATGGAGGCCCTTAAAAAGAGGGAGCTTACATTTTATCATTTAAGCTAACAGAACAATTTTCTATCAATCTCCTTTGTATATTAATGCAACTGTTAGGTGTTCTTCCTCCTGGGACAAAAGTGCACCGTCAACTGAATCCTTTGTATTATACTTAATTAAGTAAAAGTCTTTTCAAATAATGATTAAACAATTTTTTTTTTTTTTTCAATATTCACTTGCGATTATATTTATTTTGATTTGTTTCTGTCAAAGCAGCTGATTAAGAACTTCGAATTTCACATTTTTAGCTAGCAGCGCCGCTGAAAGTTACGATCGGATTACAGCATATCAATTTTCGAATTTTCGGAACGGAGCTACGAATTCGTAGCTACGAACATTCGGATTACAGCATAGGGGTGACAATCATAGCATTTATGCTAAAAAGCCTTTTCTATTTAGATAGAGGTGTCTATTTGCGGTGTGTGCATAAATCGCATTATGTGTTCCATCAACACTGCCAATCCCGTTGGGTATTCCTCATCTGGAGAAAAATTGGCTCCTTGCATATTGCTTCTCTTCTTCTGTCATTTCTGAGATTATCGAAGTACTGCAAATTTCTCTTTCCAAAATGAGCAGTACCTCTTTTAAAATGAGCGAAACTGTAGGTTGAGCAAGACCCAATTGATACTCATTTCCTACAGCATGTTGATAACTGCCATGCGCAAAAAATCTGAGCGCGCAACACAATTTTAGCATTAACGTTACAGATGAGGACAGACGGCAATTAAATTTGTCTTTGATTTTGTCCAGCACATACATAAATGCGTCTTTGCTTAGCCGAAAATTCGCTATAAAATTTTAAATACATATATATAAATAAATTTTGTGTTTCATTGAATAACGTATATGCACTGGATATTTACACTGTGGACGGTAACTCCATAGGATTGGAGTAATCCCTAATAAAACGCCGCTGACGAAGAAGGTTAACTCGCGGTTCAACATTATAACTATCCTCAAAATATAAATCTACCTTATAAAACATTTTTGCTTTTTA